TGATCTGGAAACTCACTATGTAGTACAGGTTGACCTGGAACCCTCTGTCCTCATGCTCATGCTCATGTTTCCCAAGTGCTGGGCTTTTAGGCATGTACCATTATGTCCATTGGCTATAGATCTGACCGTGTGTGAGAACATGGGCTGTCTTAATCGTATGTGTGTTTCTGGCACAGAAAACAAATATATTTGAATGAATGAAGGCTAAGGTCTATGTTGTCTATTGAGGTATCAGAAATGCTACCACACTGTGTTCACAGACTATCTGTGAACTAATATCATTATATAATCAGTTGTATGTTTGACTGTCACTACCTCTTATCCCCTATGAGGACCCAAAGAAGTATGCAAGTGCATGTATGTGACCTAGATTCAGTCCCATACCAGGCAGGCCCTGAGCCCACATCCAGCATGCAGTAAAGTCATTGGATTGCCTACTGTCCCACATAAACCATGAAGTACAGGCATGAGTGCCTCCTATCAGGATGGAATGCCGAACACTCCTTGGGTATGGCTGGGCATGAGCAATCTCAGCCATGCTAGATTGATGGGAGGCTCCTTGTGGTAACAACACTGCATCATTATTTGCTTGACTGTGCTGCCAGACTGTAGAGGATGCTGGGGAGAAATGGAGTGGCCAAAGAAGAGGTTTGTGAAGGAAAGGTTGGAGGTTCATGCTCCAGGACAGAATATTCCCATTATTCTAATAGCAAGCACAATCCTATTGGAAGGACTTGAAGAATGACAGCTCTGCCTTGAGGTAACACTCACCTGCTTCCTGCATATTTTACTTTTTTTTTTCAGAGACAGGGTCCCGTGCATCTTATTCTGGCCTTGAACTTACTCTGTAGCCAAGGATGGTCTTAAACTACTGTTTTTGTTTCTTCCACCTCCTGAGTACCAGGGTTATAGATCTTTGGTCAAACACCCAGCTTGCTTCTGATCTGTAACTGTTTCCAAATTAACTTGATTATCAGTGAGGAAAATAATAGAGGAAAAGTATAAGCTGCACCATTCAGAACTGAAATTAGATTTTAAAAAATGTTCCTTTGAGCTGAAAGTTACTGAAGTGGACACAGTGAACATTCCAGCATTTCGGAGGTGAAGGCAGAATGATTAGGAGTTCAAAGTAATTCTTGACCTCAAAGCCAGTTTTGGACTGGCCTTAGCTACCGCTTCTCCAAAGACCCTGTCATAAAACAGCTGAGAACTACTGACACTGGAAGGCAGACTTTCCTTCTAGAGAGAACTACTTGGCCTGTAACTTGGAGGCAGAAGGTTGAGAGACTTCTGGGAGGACACGCTAGCCTGATACAGAGTTGCTGTGTACTTGGAGATTAATCTGATGCACACACGTGTCCTGGCCTGGAAGAAAGAAGGATCCCTTTAGGAGACTAATAAATCATCTGACAGGACAGCCTACCACCTAAGGACACCCCCCTGTAACCCCCATATAGTTGGCAATAAATAAATAAATAAACATGGCCGAAAAGAAGAAGCCTTGTACTAGAGCATCTGAGGCTGGGGAGGGGGAGGTGGAGAGAGAGGCTACACGTTAAAGGATGCCTCTAAGCCGCCAGCGTCCCCCAGTCCCAAAAATAACTCTTAGATCCCTGGCTTTCTAGAAGTGGAGGTTGTTGCCCAAAGCAAATTGAACTCAGACACCTGGTCCTGCCTGCTGCCCTCTGCTTTGCTATGACTCAGTTTCCCTATCCGTCTCTAAGACCCACCACCAGGGAAAAAGAGGAGACTGATGACTGTGTGAATGGAGTATCAGTCAGCCCGGCAGGGAGCGCACAGTCCTGTATTCACTGGAGAGGGCCAGGAACCTGTGAGCCCCGGGTGCCCCCGTGGCCCTAGAGAGGCGGGGGCGGGGTGCAGGCAGAAACCACACCGGGCTCAAATTTCCTCTCTTGGCCAGAAGGGGCAGGAGGAGAGGAGGGCCACGGGGAAAGGGAAGGGTTGGAGGAAGCACTGGCAACTTCGGCCTAGGGCTTCGGAGAGATCGCCTGTGCACCAGCTACCGGGGCCAACCGGTGCTCCCTGCCCAGCTATGACCCGGGGGCGGGGCTCGGCACTTGGCGGCGCTCAGAGGCAGCGCTCAGCGCACCGGAGGTGTCAGCTCTGATCTAGCCTCCCAGGGACACTACCCGCAGCCTCATCTCTCTCCTTTCCCGGCTTGGAATCCGCCACAGGTGCCTGAAAACCGAGTGGGGGGTGGGGTGGGTGGAGAGAGCCCTCAGTGACATCTGAGGAGGGCAGGCTGGGCAGGTGGAGAAGATACAGGGAGGAATACCTAACTTTGTGTCTGGATGTTTCTAAGACATCTTCTTAGACTGGCTCTGGTGTAGGAAACTGATAACTTTGGAGATACTTTGGAGATAACTTTGGATGGCTTCCTGGCTGTTCTGGGATTCTTGTGGTGGGGGGTATTGATGGGGAGCACACAGTGCTTTCTGGAGACGCCCTGGAGGAGCAGAGGAGTAACCAGAAGGAAACCTTCTATTGGCCTGTTGTCTGAGGGAGCTAGTAGGCTCCACTAATACGGTGCCATGTCCCCTTCTCCACTGCGTCCTGCAGCTCCAGCCATAAGATTTGGGCGAAGCTTAGGAACTATAGCTAGATACTGGATATCTGAACTTCTGAGAAGCCTTGCTACAGCAAAAGTGCGGTGGCCGACTGGGAGGAGCTGAGTTCTTGCCGGTTGCTTCTCTTCCTCTCCAGTCCTGCGGCAGTGGAGCTCAGCTGGATCTGCAAAGAGGAGGGTGTCCAACCCCAGTGTGGGTACTTCAGTGGGAATTCTTGGCTGCTTGTAGCTGGAGTTTGAGATGCTGTGGGAGAGAGAACGAGCTACCAGATCAGCTGGGCTACTGCCTCTACGCATTGCTTCCAAAGAGCCAGAGTTTGGGTTCTAGGGATAAAGTCATAGGGGAGCAGAAGTTTGTTCCCAAGCATCATCTGAGTCATATATGCTCCCAGGGAACTAAGCGGGCTCAAATCTTTTTTTCTTCTCTCTTCGTTCTGTTGGTTTCTCTATCTCACCTCTGTGTGCCTCTCCCTTTTGGGAAGTTCTCCTTGATCTTTGTAACTAGGTTGCTCACCTGCTAATCTACACACCAAGTTTTACTCATATCTCCCCAATCCTTCCATTGTTTGTGTTAACACCAGGAGAGGTGGAGTAACCTAGTAAGTCTCCATAAAGCACCCTGGGGCAAGCTCCCTATCAAAGAAGTTAAAGTCCTGGGCTAGCAGTGGAAGGTAAAATGTCTTCCTTTCCCACCTCTCCTAATTATCTCGTATCCTTAGTCAGAAAGCCTCATATTTCTGTGAAGTCCTAGGGATCATGAGAACTTTGGAGAATTCTAGGGATGTAACTTAGTGGCAGAGTGCTGACCTGGAATATTCAAAGCTCTGGGTTGGTCTGGAGGGAAGCCAGGAGGGAGAGAAAGTTGAGGGGAGGAGAGAAAGGGGGAAGAAAGAGGAAGGTAGGTAGGACCACCAGGATGAAAGGAAAAGGAAGGGTGGAGGTTAGTTTCTGTGTTTGGCTCAAATTCTACCTGATCTACAGTGCTGAGAACTAAGGAGAACAACCAGCCCAATGGATTCAGTGATTGTGTGGCCTGAAGATGAGGGTTAAACTGTAAAAACAAGAGCTGGTGTTGCTAAATACAAGGGCCCCTGGAAGCCTAGCCTGCATTCCCTCTTTCTTTTCAGTACCCTCTTTGGTGTTCTATTTGATCATGTCTGGCTCCTACTGGCTGCAAGCTTGCTAGTCCTCTGAAAGGCAGGTTCCCAAGACCCAAAGGACCTATGCCTGAGGTAAATGATGGTCCAGTGATTTCCTTTATGAACCTCTGCTCAGCCTCCAGCCTCTTCCTGCCCCTTCTACCCACTAATTTTGTTCTTAATCTCAAAAAGAGAGAGAAGACCCACCTCCAGGTCTTCATGGGGAAGGACTGATAGCTAGGTACTGCCTGGAGTCTAGCCTTGCTTAGGGTCAAGGGTTTGCAGTTAAGTGAAGACTATGGAACATTTGTTGTTGTTGTTGTTGTTGTTCCTTTTTTTTTTTTCTGAGACAGGGTTTCTCTGTGGCTTTGGAGGCTGTCCTGGAACTAGCTCTTGTAGACCAGGCTGGTCTCGAACTCACAGAGATCCTCCTGCCTCTGCCTGCCAAGTGCTGTGAGTAAAGGCGTGCGCCACCACCACCCAGCTTGTTGTTCCTTTTCTAACTTTGTGTTCTTTCTTGCAAATTCATCTAACTGTGTTTCTTGAAGCTAGATTGACCCATGTGTGAAAATATTTAGGACATTTGTTGAAATGCTTATTCTTAGGTGCCTGTATATAAATTCAGTTCAGCAGGCCTGAATGGCCTTCAGGAATGTTTTCCATATACCCCAGGTGAACACGATGCACAATAAGATTTGTGGCTCTGACTAGATGCAGTCTGTTCCTTCTTAGAGCAGTAAGGTTCCCTAGTCCTGACTCCATGTAATTGGAGACTGTGATGCAATTTGTCCAAAGTCATGCATCTTGAAAAGTAGAGAACCTTGCCTTCTAGGGCAAGATCTTGTCTTGCACCCCAGATTCATACTCAGAAAGACAGGAGAGGCAAAGAGAGGTAGAGTATGTGAAGAACTATGAGGCAATAAATAGTCATAGTGCCTGCCCCCCCCCCAAAGTCCTTCTCCATTCACTCTGCCTTTGGGCAATTTCCGCCAGAACCTGGGTGGGGAGGGTGGAGTTCCGGTGTTGAAATGGCATCCTGGACAGACATAAACACCCCACCCATTCTACCCATTGGTCAAAGGCCTGTGCCTATATGAACTCCCATTTCTGGGGATGGCATTATAGCAAGAGGATGGAGGCAGGGCCTCAGGCAGATCATCTGTGAAAAGGACACTTGGTAGTGGCTGTACATTTTGTGGTAGGTACAAGAGGGGATTCCATAATAGCATGAATGGGCTATTCTTGTGTTGGTTGATGTAAAACCATACAATACAATTTGAGTTCATTCAGTCCCATCCTCTGTTCTTCTGTAAGGTTTCATTTATTTGTATGGTGTGTACTGTAGATATGCATGCATGTACATGCTATGCTGGTCTGTCCCTGAGAGATCAGGAGAGCCTTGCCAAGTCTACTTGGAATCTATTGCTGGACACGAAGAGAACAGATTCAGATAGAGATGGTATCAGAGAATATGGATGTAGGGACCAAGAGGAGATAATGAAAGAAGGGTAAGAGTTTGCAGAGAACTGTCCAAGCAGCAAGGAATTCTTCCAGTTCAAGTTGTCTAACTCCCTGGCTTTACAACTGGGAGACCTGACCGGGAGCAGTGATATGGATGGCTTGTCCAGCTACCACACTGATGCTTTGTGGCAGAACTGAAGCTATAGCCCAGATTAAAAGAAGAGGACTGATGGTACTTGAGGGCCCAAAGAGATGTTTCCTAGAAGAGGAAAGTGTCTGAGACACTTGCTGAGGTAATCTGCCTTTAGAGGTGTGGGCTGTCCACAGCCCACACTTAGGGAACCAAAGGGGCCTGGAAAGCAGCAAGGGATATGATCAGGTTCCAACCTGTCACCTATCAGCTTGGGCTTCTGTATCTGCCTTCTGTCCCTTACAAGGTCTTTGTGAAGCCCAGCACAAATTTTGACTTACTTGCTAAGTCTTTGCTGTGTGTTGACCTTGGAAGAGAAAGGAGCCATGGTCATGTGGGGTGGGGCATGGCCAAATGACCTGTTTGGGATACAGGGTAGAGGTCCAGTGTCTCCTGGAGCCCATTCCTCCTCTGCCTCTGCTGCCTGCAGCTGATAAGCCTCTTATCTGGCCCAGGCAGAGGAGCCCAGAGTAAGGATGGGAGTAGAGAGCAGGGCTGCTATCACCAGCAGGCCTGGGCCCTATCTGAGACAAGGGGAGGGGCTGTCTGCCTACACTTCCCACAACACACTGCTTGGGGATCCCCAAGCATTCACTCACATTCTGGGAAGAAAGGAAAGAGCTGAAATGCTAGGCATGGTGGCACACACCTCTAATTCCAACACTCGGGAGGCAGAGGCAGGCAGGTCTCTGTGAGTTAGAGGCCAGCCTGGTCTGCACAGCAAGACCCTGTTTCAAACAACAAAACTGAGGACCCAAGAGGAAGGCATGGGTGACTCTTGATGTTTTCCCCCAGAAAGGAAAACAAAAATCACCAAACCTTAGAAGACTGGATTTTGTCTCTGGACAGGAATGCCATTTTTAGGGAGTAAGAGAAGACATCTTACCTGAGAAAAAGTAAAGATACCTACTGTGTGTCCAGAGGACTGACTATGGCCAGAGCAGGTGAGGTGGAGAGTGTGCCACAGAAAGGAACTTTACAGTTCATAGGACGCCGATGGCCCTGGCACGAGTGAACCTCTGGCATTGCTCCTTTCTTCTGGGTTCTGCACAGGGACAGGACAAACTTTGCATCTGGCAGAAGCAGCTCTAATCCTTTCTTCCTTCCACACAGGTTGCTGGAGCCCTTTGGGCTTTGGAGGTGCCAGGGCCAGAAGCTGGCTCAGTAGGATGCCCCCGTGTCCTCCTCAGCAGAACAGGGACAGGTTGTTACAGCTGCCTGTCGGGGAGCCGGGCGAGATGGAGTTGACGTGGCAAGAGATCATGTCCATTACTGAGCTGCAGGTGAGTATGGGGTGGGCACTGCAGATGTAGGGGCTCTGGCCTGCCCAGAGACAGAGTAGAGGGGGCAGTGAGGAACGGGGGAGGGGGGAGGATCTGGCTGGGGGTGTGGGCCCCTGCCTTGCGGCTCTACTGGCATTTCTACCTCCCTCTTCTCTGTCCCCCCCCCCCCCTTTTTATTTTCTTCTCATCTGACCTGCTCTCTTCCAGCACTGCCCACCTTCCCTCATTACCACCCCTCACCCTTAGCAACAAGCTCCTTACTCCAGGTAGCAGAGCCTTAGTTAAAGGGCCTCAGAAAGGGGAGACAGACGATGCTGGGGTCCTCTCCTGAATGTTGGACAAAGGGGTGTCTGTTGGTCTAACAATGATGTCTTTGTCCTCAGCTAGGCTTGAGCAGGGTAGCTCTCCTCCGTAAGTTGGGGGCCTTGTTTGTAACGTGTTCTCCTCCTCACTGCACCTGGACAGAGGGCTAACCCCCAGCCTGGCCTCTGTGCCTGCCCCCACCACAGGCCTCCTGTCCTCGGGTTCTGCCCTAGACCCTCCTCCCGCACACCAGCTCCCTCTGCTGGGCACCCAGGGAATGGCAAGGCCTTGAACTTGACCCTTTGACTCTGAGAGTCCATCTTGGGTAATAATGGCCTTGTCTTCCTAAGGAAAGTGAAGGAACAGGAGCTGTTTGGCCCAGTAAGAGTTTCTCCTTAGGAGAGATGGACCCACTTCAGTGTGAAGTTTCCTCTCTGAGGTCTCACCACAGTGACTTTTATTCATACTTAAACTGCTCTTTCTCCTCCCTCTTTTTTCCCTTTTTTGCTTTTCAAGACAGGGTTTCTCTGTGTAGCCTGGCTGTCCTGGAACTCACTCTGTAGACCAGGCTGGTCTCGAACTCACAGAGATCCACCTGCCTCTGCCTCCCGAGTCCTGGGATTAAAGGCGTTAGCCACCACCGCCCAGCGACCTTTTGATTTTTATTTACTTATTTTTATCTCATGTACATTCCTGTTTTGCCTGCATGTATGTTTGTGTGAAGGTGTTGGATCCCTTGAAACTAGAGTTAGAGAGGTATGAGCTGCCATGTGAGTACTTCCTGTGGAGGAGTAGTTACTGCTCTTAATTGCTGAGCCAATTCTCAAGCCCTTCTCTTGATTTTTGCAAGGGTCTCACACAGCCCACGCTGGCTGGCCTTGTACTTGTTATGTAGCCAAGGCTGACCTTAAACTCATGACCCTCTTGTTTCTACATCTCAAGTGCTGGTATTATAAGCCTATGCCACCATGCCAGCAAACTGATTTTTTTTGGGGGGTGGGGGTTTGAGACAGGGTCTCTCTGTATTGTTTTGGAGGCTGTCCTGGAACTTGCTCTGTAGACCAGAGCTGGCCTCGAACTCACAGATCTGCCTGCCTCTGCCTCCCAAGTGCTGGGATTAAAGGCGTGCGCCACCAACGCCCGGCTTGACTTTTTTTTTTAATAATTTATATTTTATTTGCACTGGTGTTTTGCCTGCATGTACGTTCATGTGGGTGCGTCAGATCTTGGGTTTATAGACAGTTGTGAACTGCTATGTGGGTGCTGGGAATTGAACCTGGGTCCTCTGGAGGAGCAGTCAGTGCTGTTAACTACTGAGCCAATCTTTCCAGGTGCCACCCCCCCACACACACACTGCATGCTGCTTTCTTCTTGAAATGTTATTATCACTATGCAAGAACCTTCCATTTTTTTTCTTTTCGTCTTTTGTAAATTACGAAAACCTAGCCTATAGTTTAGATTTATTCCCAACTAGCTCTTATAACCTAAATTAACCCATTTATATTAATCTATGTTCTATTATGTGGAATTATCTTTCTTACATCATATACCTCCTGTTTCTTCTCCATGTTTGTTTTGTTTTTCAAGATAAGAGTTTCTCTGTGTAGTCCTTGCTGTCCTGGAACTCTGGAGATTGGCCTGCCTGTGAGTGCTGAGATTAAAGGTGTGTGTCACCAACACCCTTCATAGTCTATCTTCTAACCTTTGGTGTGCCTTTCTTTGCAGGGTCTAAATGTTCCAAGTGAGCCATCCTTTGAGCCCCAAGCACCCACCACATACACTGGACCACTGCCACCTCCAACATACTGCCCCTGTTCAGTTCACCCAGATGCAGGCTTCTCCCTGCCCCTACCACCTTATGAGCTGCCAGCAGCATCTACTCCCCAAGTCCCAGACCTTCCATTCTCCTATGGCAACATGGCTATACCAGTGTCGAAGCCACTTACCCTTTCAGGCCTGCTCAATGAGCCCCTTCCGGACCCCTTAGCTCTCCTGGACATTGGACTACCAGTGGGGCCACCCAAGCCCCAAGAAGACCCAGAATCTGACTCGGGATTATCCCTCAACTACAGTGATGCAGAATCTCTTGAGCTAGAGGGTGCTGAGGCTGGCAGGCGGAGGAGCGAGTATGTGGACATGTACCCGGTGGAGTACCCTTACTCCCATATGCCTAACTCCTTGGCCCATCCCAACTATACTTTGCCGCCCACTGAGACACCCTTGGCCTTAGAGTCATCGTCTGGCCCTGTGCGGGCTAAGCCTGCTGTTAGGGGAGAGGCGGGGAGTCGGGATGAGCGGAGGGCCCTGGCCATGAAGATTCCTTTCCCTACGGACAAGATCGTCAACTTGCCTGTAGATGACTTTAATGAGCTGTTGGCACAGTACCCACTAACAGAGAGCCAGCTGGCTCTAATTCGGGACATCCGACGGCGGGGCAAGAACAAGGTGGCAGCCCAGAATTGTCGAAAGAGAAAACTGGAAACCATTGTGCAGCTGGAGAGGGAGTTGGAGAGGCTGGGTAGTGAAAGAGAGCGGCTTCTCAGAGCCCGAGGGGAAGCTGACCGCACTTTGGAGGTCATGCGCCAACAGCTGGCGGAGCTGTACCATGACATTTTCCAGCATCTTCGGGATGAATCTGGCAACAGTTATTCACCAGAGGAATATGTACTGCAACAGGCTGCTGATGGGGCCATCTTTCTGGTACCCCGTGGGACCAAGATGGAGGCCACAGATTGAGCTGGCCTAAAGGAGACTGACAATGGTGCTAGGGCCCCCCTTATTCCTTCTGATAAAGGTACTCCCGAACCCCAGGACCCATAAGGCACTGCATTCTCCAGACAAAGAGGGCAGATGCAACCTTAGCATTTGGATGTTCCAAGGTATGTTCAGTGAGGTTTGCCTGGAGGCCAGGTGAGTGCTGGCTTCCCAGGCCCCAAATCTCCACCTCTTGTTTAAGCTTTGGTCCATAAAAGAGCTGTGTGGAAATAAGCTTTCCATTGTGTCTTCCTTCCTGAGTGTGATGAAGGTTATCTCAGAAATCACTGCTTGAAGGGAAATCCTGAGCTCATTTTAAATATTCATAAAAAGTTGGACATGAGCAATCTACCCACCTTCTCAAGCCCAAGTCAGGAGCTATGGATGCTTTCAGGAACCCAACCCATAAATGACATGAGCTGTCAAGAGGGCTGCATCCTCCATGTACAGCATCTGGAGCTCACACAAACAAAAACCCCTTTAGTTTTCTTCTGATTTATTTCTCACCCTGGGTCTGATAGGCCAGAGACCTTTGAAGCCCAAGGGACTGTTCTTGACTGGAATGAGGTTAGATATTCCACAGTCAAAATGTATACACTCTTGTACAACTTTTATACATGTGCACTGAGCCAAGAATGTTAGGCCAAGTGATGAGGTTGCAATCCACTGTCTCCCTGGTTGAGACAAATGCTATCCAAATCCTGGGGGAGACAGATGGACAGGCCACTGCTATGACATCTACTCTTTTAGACATACCTTTATTTTTGAGGGAGGCAGGGTCTCAAATATACCAGGTCAGCCACCAACTCCTTGGCCCGTCTCCAAAGTGCTGGGATTAAGTGTGTACCATCATACCCAGCCCACCCTGAACTCATGCAGAAGCCTGTAGAAGCCAGGTGTCCCCTTGAAATTGCCCTCTGAAAGGTTAATTCTTTACATAGATAGGCAGGGTGCCAACATAACAGGCTGGCCTTATACCTGTGCAACGAAAAATGACCTTGAGCTCATTAATCTTCGACCTTATACCTCACAAGTGCTGGGATACTATATGCCAAGCCCAGCTCAAGATCTACAGTGTCTTTTCTTACATTGGAAATACAACAACAGCGTTCCAGAGGCAAAGGCAGGGAGACTGCAGGGCACCCAAAGCCATGCAGTGAAACTTGAAATTTTCATGCTTATAGACTTTAAAAATGTGGTTTCTAATCTGGGATTTGTCAACTCTTGGCCTAGCAACTTTCATTCTGTGTTAAGTCCATAAAAAAAAAAAAAAAAAAACCCAGTATGGGGGGGGGGCTGAAAAGATAGCTCAGTGGTTAAGAGCACTGTTTTTCTGTAGGACTTGGGTTCAATTCCCAGCACCCACATGGCAGCCAATAGCTGTCTGTAACTCCAACATCAGACACCCTCACTCAAGACACATGCAGGCAGAACAATGTACATTAAAAACAATAAATTATAGCTGCCCAAGCCTATATTCCCAGCACTAAGAGGTAATGGATTGCCCCAAATTTATGTATGTACGTACGTATGTATGTATGAATGATTTCAGGCTAGCCAAGGATACTTTTCACATTAGTGCCACTACCAAGAAACAAAAATCTAAAATCTAGCTTACAACTAATTCATTAGTATCCACATTCCCCAAAATCGAATACAGAATCAAGTCACTTGCCAATTAAATTCCAAAAAGAGACAACAGAACCAAGTTAATTGATTTATTTTAAAAACCAATCTAAGTCATTCACAAAACTGAATGATTTTAGCAGCACAGTGAAAACCCAACTGCATGGCAGTGAGAATACAGTGGCCCAGAGCAAAGGCTGTTCTCATGTGGATGTTCCTGCAAAGGAGAAAAAGTTATGTAGCTTTAAACAGTGGACTCCATTATATACCTCCCCACCCTAACATTCTGACAGCTACAAAAATAACCAATATCTCATTTTTAACTGAGGTTTGCTTTCTTAACATTTGGGTAGCAAATCACCAACCATAAAACCTTACCGTTTTTAGACAAGAACTTCTGAAGGTTTTTTTTTAATCTTACAGCAGTGGTTAAGCTTCGAAGCAGATTCCTCCCTAGAAAAGCAAACAACCTTTAGAACTAGTCTTTTGTGAGGTCAATTCCCATCTTTAAGCTATTCCCACCCCCTCCCGTTAATGATCCACCCATCCTCCCACCATTTTTTGGGGAAAGGTATCTAATGTAAGTTACTTTGAGCCACTGCTTTAAGAAAATGGGTCAAAGGAAGGTTAAATAAAATTAAAGGGCCAAAATGTATCGTCACAATAGAAATGTATTCACTCCCTTTAAGTAAGGAGTAATATGGGCATTAATTAAAACAATTCATCTCCAGAAAAACCAAGTGCAGCTTAACTGGACTAGTTTTGGCTCAATATATATATATATATATATTAAGAAAAATCCAACAGAAAATTGGACTTTACAACTATATGGATGTAAGTAAAATCTGTTCTTACCTACCAGCATAGCAATAAAACCTTTCCTTCTGGTTCTGCCTGCTAGTCCTAAGAGTCAGGTGTGTGCCTTACTCTTGTCTGCCTCCTTCCTTGCGATGATCACTGAAACTTCACTCCCTCCTAGCTTTCATGGAGGTGCCGTGGCCTGCCCCTGGCTTATCTGTACTCCACATACCACAAGTGTCTACTCTCAGCTGTAGAGTTTCTGAGCTCGAAGTCATTCGCGCTATACTTGCTAGCAGTTCCTAGTAGCTGAACATCTCCTGGATCTTTAAAGGCATTGTCCCGATTGCTGAGGTATCTGCAAACTCCCTCAATAGTTAAGGTTCCACCTGCTATTGCAAACTCAGCCAGTATCATGGAACTACCATCCATGCTTCCCACCCCCATCCCCCAACTCCCCCTCCCTCCCCCCCCAAAACTTCCAAGCAATACACGGTGAGATGGGATATACAAGTCCTATGGCAAACAAATCATCTATGCTACCAGGTACAATGGCACTTTAAAGGGAACCAAATGGGATGCTCAAGAATCTATGCACAAATAACAATTATTAGATAGTAACTGTTTTGAATTTTCTATACAAGTAGAAAACACTTCAGGATACCAGTGTGAAGGAAAACTGCCGTTAACAAAATTATACAGAAGTACTGTCAATTATATTTTAATTTACATTTTAAAATAACTCAAGTCACTTCTAGAAATCTTCAGGAACACCCACCCACGACCCAGACCCAGTTAAACTGCAGTTTTCCTTCACTATAGCCTGCTCTTATGGCAATTAAGAGTCCTTACTATTATCACTTTTAAGATGCCCAACACTTCTAACCTGTGGACTTATTGGTGGCATTAACCAGTAATTGGTTTCTACTCTGGCAGAGCTTTGAACTTGCACTGTGATAACAAACAATCAACATTTACCAGGGGTATTGGGTAGGGAAAGCCCAAATCTCTGCCAGTCCCAAATCCATACAGTTGTCATTCCATTCAAGAGAATTAAATCGTTTATTGATTACACATGATAATGGATGATACACAAGCTTCATTCCCATCTGTTATTTTTTATCTGATACCATTATTCAATTGATATTGCATAGGGTGTGCCAACAACCATTTTATAACCAAATTGTGGACTTTGCTTGGATGATCCTTTTAATGGTAAAACTCATTAATAAGTCACAACAATAACTGGCAGTTTAACTACACCAAGGTTTTTGAAGACAATGGCTTCTCCACCCAAGCAATCATAAATAAATCCCAAATGGAACTTGGCACCACCCTGAAGGAATTCTAACTTCACACTGTTGGGGAAGTTTACCAAGATGGCTTCAGAGTAGACTAACTTTACACAGCACATTAAAAAAAAAAAAGAATAAGAAAAAAAAAAGACACATTTATTCAGCGTCATGATCAGACTATTACATTTAGCAATCAACAGCATGGGTGAAAAAAGGTCTACAGTAAAACCCTTTGTTGGAATGCTTTTACACTTTCCACAGAACAGAAACTAAAATAACCTGTTATACAATTAGTCACAAATACAGTCCTGGAGTTTTTTTGCCCATATACATGAGTATTGTCTAACACATGTCTTCTTTGTAGCAGCTAGGCCCTGCCACCACTGTGCTTGGCTGAGTTCACAAATCTGTTGTAACCTGTAGCTTCCCTGTCACTTCTCTGGCTCTCCTCTCCTGCTAAGCTTTGTTTCCTGTTGAACAATATGGAATAAAGTTGTTAATCTAAAACACATTAAGACTCAAGGCTACAATCCAATAGAGCAAGTTGTTTCCCACAAATTTTGCTGAATTGTATATATTAACTTAGCATCCACCATTTTACTGCAATTATAATGTTAACTATGTTGCACTGCTCAGCTATATTAATTAGGGTTACTGACTGGGTTCAATTATAAAACTAAGTCAACACAGACAAAACAGGTACTTACCTGGCTGTAATTAGAACCTCCTGCCACTGCCATAGCTACTGCTGCTGCTGGAACCACCATAGCCACCTGAAAGTTTCAAAGAATGTCTAAATACTCTATGTTCAATAGATACACATCTCATCCAAAAGCTGGGCGGTGGTGGCACACGCCTTTGATCCCAACACTAGGGAGGCAGATCTGTGAGTTCACAAGAGCTAGTTCCAAAGCCACATTGCAACCCTTTCCCGAAAAAAAACAAAAAAAAAAGCCCCCAAGACCTTTCTGGTTGATGGGAAGGGGGACTTAATTTGTCAGCTTTTTGCCACATATATATACTATACCTTGGTTTCGTGGTTTAGCGAAGTATTGGCCACCACCACCATAAGGGCCTGAGCTTCTGCCTCCAAAGTTTCCACCCTTCATTGGTCCAAAATTTGAAGACTGATTGTTATAATTGCCAAAATCATTGTAGCTTCCACCACCTCCAAAATTGCTTCCTATAAATAGAAAGAAGGCCTTTATGACCTGAGAAGCAAGCCAGTTCTATTCATGGCTCTGAATGAAAGATTATGTATGGCTTCCTTCTTCCAAAATTGCTAGCTCCAATATCAGTTTATCCTGAATAAGGCATTCACTTAATAATCCAGCATTTAAAGAAAAGTAACCCAACTAATGGCAATTTGACTTTACCTTTGTGAGTGGTACTTAGAAACACTTTAGACTCAAGGAGGCCTTCATGTATTCATTGCCAATGCAGAGATTTCTTGAACATACCAACTATATGCCTGAAGTCCCAAAGGAATTTAGATACTAAATCCAGCTATACCATCAATCTAACTATCTTTAATTGAAGACACCACTAACCACTCATCCACCTACTTACTTTGGGGGAGGCGGCCCCAGCTTAAAGCCAGGAGGTGGTAGCACAGCAAGCCTATTTCAATGTACCATGCAGTGTACCCACAATGCTTTAAGAGCTCTAAAGTCCAACACAATATAAACTAAGGCTAATCTAGCTATCACACCAAGTACTTGCATCACTGGATACCTACCACTACCACCGCCAAAGCCGCCTCCGCCTCCTCCGTTGTTATAGCTGTCATAGCTGCCACTCCCGCCATAGCCACTGCCCTGGTTTCCATAACCCTGTCCACCACTTCCATAGCCTCTGCTTCCTCCAGAGTAACCAGGGCCGCCTCCTCCATAACCACCTACAAGAATACAAGCCTTCTCAATAAGACAAAAGTATTTAACAGTAAGAATCTATGCAAGTGTAATGACTAATGGCCTGCTCAGAGCATGCGTATTATGGGGCTGGTTGAGTCTGTCATGCACTAGGTTTAGTCTCTACTAGCCTAGTCTAAAGGTATAGGTTGCCAGAAAATTTACTTACAGATTCCGTAAGAAACTTACCATCGTTACCAAATCCATTATAACCGTCCCCACTGCCACCATATCCACCACCACCACGGCTACCACCGAAGCCACCTGTAAGAAACCAAAGCTTTAAGCTAGGCTTTAGATATATGAATGGAGCAAATGCTAACTTCTGTGCAATGAGAACTACATTTTGGGTAAAATCTAAATGCTGGAAACAAAGGCTAGGAGTTACCCAGAGTTCCAAAAACAACAAGAAATTCAAAGCAGACACATACCACGACCACTGAAGTTTCCTCCTCGACCAAAATTGTCATTGCCGCCAAAACCACCTCCACGACCACCACCAAAGTTTCCGGAACCGCTTCGACCTTAAGAGATGTTTGGATCATTATCAGACCAACTTGTTGCAACTCAAGCCACCCTCTACAACTTCAGTGAGCAGGGATACCTCTCTGGCTGGAGGACGCACTGGCCATCTCTTGCTTTGACAGGGCCTTTCTCACTTCACAGTTGTGGCCGTTCACAGTGTGGTATTTCTGAACTTTAAGAGAAAGTTATCTTTAGGGCTTGAAATACACTGAATTCCAGCGATTAAAAAAATCTAATCTGGTTGCATGGTGGAACACACCATAAATCCCAGCATCCGGGAGGCCTGCCTGGTCTGAGTTCCAGGATGTAACCCAGTTTCGGTGGGGAGAGGAAAAAAATGGAATAATCTGACACTTACTAACAATCTTGTCCACAGAGTCATGGTCATCAAAGGTGACAAAAGCAAACCCTCTTTTTTTCCCACTGCCTCTGTCCGTCATGATTTCAATCACTTCGATTTTCCCATACTGCTCAAAGTAATCTCGCAGGTGATGTTCTTCGGTGTCCTCTTTTATACCACCAACAAAGATCTTTTTCACAGTTAAGTGGGCACCTGGTCTCTGGGAATCCTAGGAGGAAAAATGACTGTCATTAATAGCAGCACACTTCCAAATGATTGGCAGCTGTGGTGGCCCACGCCTTCAATCCCAACACTCTAGAAGGGAATCTCCTACAAAAACCACTCACTTCTCTTGAAACGGCTCTCTTAGGTTCCACAACTCGTCCATCCACCTTGTGTGGTCTCGCATTCATAGCGGCATCCACTTCTTCCACGGTGGCGTATGTGACAAACCCAAAGCCCCTGGATCGCTTGGTGTTTGGATCTCTCATTACCTATTTAGAAAAAGATCCTTTTTTGTCTCTTTTACTATGCAATTAATTACCTTCACAAAGCATCTGGGTAAGAAGTGCAGCAAGATTAAACCAATGAAACTAAACCACCCCTGCCTTTTGTCCCTTCCCATCTTACCACACAGTCGGTCAGTGTTCCCCATTGCTCAAAATGGCTTCTTAGACTCTCGTCGGTTGTTTCGAAGCTCAGCCCTCCAATGAAGAGCTTCCGCAGCTGTTCCGGCTCCTTGGGTGACTGAGGTGCAGCAAAGGAGAGCGGTTAGTGAAGCGGCTGGAACTTGAGCGAAGGAATCAACTCCATGCATCAACACAGACCGCATTTTTTTTTATTGTTCTTTATTACTGCACAAGACCACGTGCTCCTCTCTTGGCCAGGAGGTGCTGTTGGGGCGGGGAAACTAGCCAGCAGCGCATGCGTCCCTACTCTATACACGCACGCGCAACAAAAGACACGGGCTGGACTGGTCAATCGCCATTAAAACTTACTGACCCCTTAGCAGACGTTTATTACGCAAAGTCAAGAAACAAAACAAAAAGAGCCACAGCCCTCAAGATATCTAGGAATTCTGCCTCTAGGAGCCGAGCGTACAAACTAGTGGTTAGCGGACGGCAGCCTCATGGCGACTACGAGGACAAAATGGCGACCTGCACTTTGTGAGTAGGCCTCGGCAACGACCGATCAAACACCGAAAGCATGGCTGCCAGCAGCAAAATTAGGTCGCATCCCGTCCTGTTCATTACCCATGGGAGAAGACGAAAGTGCGGAGCGCGCAAAACTCACCTCGGACTTAGACATGACGGCAGGGAAACGAGAGCCTTCAGCGATGCTTCCTCGGCCGCGTCAACAAGCAGAAAGGAGTAAGCCAACGAACGTACCCGCCAGCCTACCTTCTGCTCGCCTTTTTATCCCGCCTCCTGGCTTTCGGCATTGGTAGACTCCGCCCTGGCCTTACTCTGATTGGAGATTTGAAATTGTTCCCGCCCACCCTTGGTCTGTGGATCCGCCCTGCTCAAGAGGGCATCTGCTAGGGCGTACGTAATACGCAGTCTCCGCCCTTCGGAGCCATTGCCGCTCTGAGAAAAATTTTTTTAACCAGTTTGATTGACTAGCTAACCAGTCGTTTATATTTGAATGCACCCATGTCTGTAGACACCTGCACAACTTCCCAGCGTACGTACATTACAACCTCAGTTGGCAAAACACGCTACGTTAGGAAAGTAGCTCGCTACCACTTTTCCAGCCACCACCCACCGAGCGCATGTGTAGTTAAAAAAAAAATGGCCAGTTTACGCCGGCGCACTAAGGGGTTCCGATCGCCTACTGAACACGTGAAATGGCGGGCGGGAGAGGGTGGGGAACCTAAGGCGCCTGCGTAGTGGCGGGAGTTGCGTCCTGCTTTGCGCAGGCGTTTTGGGCGGAGAAAAAAAAAGGCCTGGTCCCAGGATTGGTTGCGCAGGCGCAGGGAAGGATCCGTTTTGGCGGGCGGCTGGCGTTGCGCAGAAGGCAGCGGTAGCGGTGGCTTGTGGTGCAGCTTTGCCACAGAGGAACCGCGCAGGCCTTAGTGTGAGTGGTCACTGTAGATCCCCGGTAAGTGGCAGAGAGTCTTGACTAACCGTTTGAGTCCCTGGACCCGCTCCAATTGGACTCGTTATTGTACGAAATGAATGGGGCGCTTCTGGACTTGGGGGAACGACAGTGAAGGGGGCCGCGATGGGTCGGGCTAGCCAATAGGAGGACTGGGGGCGGGATGTTTTAATCCTGGCAGGTCCTTCTGAGCTGCGCTCCCAGAGCGTTTGACTGACGTGCGTACAGGCCAATTGGGTCTTCCTATAGCTGCCTACGGGTCGGCCTTTGGGCCATCGGAATGCGAGAGGCGGGTTTTGCCCGTATGAGTGGCGTCTCTCCGAGCCAATGAACTCCAAGCGCGCGATAGGCCGGCCTTCTGCGAGAGGCAGAGGCTGGACTCCAGTGGGGAGCGCGGGAGTCGCCAGGTTAAATTCATGGACCAAACCTGGGTAAAGTAAATGGAGAGATCTCCTGAAAGAGAGTGATCTTATCTTTAGAGGGAGTTGTGGGGGTGGATACGTCATCTACAGTGACTCCTATAAGGGAAGCATCCATTCCGTCCATCACCTTAACGAAAGCATATGTTTTCTTGTGACCCTCGAGTTTGGCTCTTTTAGGTAGGTACCTTCCACCCTTCACTTGATATTTTGAAGAACTTAGGGAGGGAGGCTTTAGTTTTTGAAAACCTTTAAAGGAGAATATTTACAGTTTTAGAGTGAAATGGCTACATAAGTATTGTAATGGAAAACATCCAATACCTCTACCACCGGTTTCCAGGGATACACATCTGTATTTCAATGGCCACAGCGGGGTAGAGGCCTGTTTGTATGTCTGATATTTGAGGGGTGACTGCCTTTAATGGGACAATGAAAGGTTTAATAAAAAAGTGGACTCACTTGTTTTTTGTTTGCTTGTTTCCAGTCATCATGTACTTCTCACCATCATTCATGTCTCCTAGTATTTATTCTGAGTCTCTTCTCCGAGGAATGTTTTCCCCCCTAATGATCTTTTAACATTCAAAACCTCCTAAGCCCTCTTCCTGCTGTCCATGTTTGGATGTCTGACTTTGGAGGAAAAGGCTGCTTCAGTTGGAAGGTATTTAGGATATTGGTGACAGAAGACTCCACCATCTCTTGGATCATTCATTAGTCGTTGCTTTTGATTTCATCTCTTCTCATATTTTGACTGCAGTCTCTTTGGTGTTGATAATGCTCACACTTCCCACAGGGTCTGGACGAACGTGTAATTTTCATTTATTAACTATTGATTTATTTTGGGTCAAGGGGAAATATTTAAATACCATGATGAATAACTTGTTTGTTTGTTTGTTTGTTTGTTTGTTTTTGGTTTTCGAGATGGAGTTTCTCTGTAGCTTTGGATCCTGTCCTGGAATTCAGTTTGTAGACCAGGCTGGCCTCGAACTCACAGAGATCCGCCTGCCTCTGCCTCCCGAGTGCTGGGATTAAAGGCGTGGGCCACCAACGCCCGGTGATGTTTCAGACTCTTAACATTGTTTCTTTATAGATTTTTATACTTTTAAATTTTATTTTATGTGCATGACTGTCAGGTCCCTGGAACTAGAGTCACAGACAATTGTAAGCTGCCGTGTGGGTACTGGGAATCGAACCCTGGTCCTCTAGAAGAGCGGTCACTGCTGAACCATCTCTCTAGCCCCTCCATCCCCCTTTTAAAAACAAGGTCTCTGTTGTTTATGTTGTTAACTTATTACATAGACCAGTTTGGCCTTGACTTGAAGCAATCCTCCTGCCTCATCTCTGATACTGCCTGTGCACATTTTAAAATGAGTTTCACCAAACAAGCATATGAAGTACTGTGTTCTTATCTGTACTGTATTATTTCATTTTCTTACTAATCAATCAGGTCAATTTCCAGGTTGGGAATGTTGGTCTACCATGCATGGAGTTCTGGATTCTATTTCCCATTGGGAAATAACCCTGCAGTGATGGTGCTAGCCTGTAATTCCAGCAGTTGGGAAGCAATTAGAAGGGGACCACATCAAAATCAAGTCTGCCATCAAAGTACAGTGCAGCCCTAAACTCCTGCTTTCTGGTTTTTTTTTTAGGTGTAACAATTTACCTTGGTTTGGTTTTTTTTTTTTTTTTTGGTTTTTCGAGACTAGGTTTCTCTGCATTGCTTTGGAGGCTGTCCTGTAACCAGACCAGACTGACTTCGAACTCCTAGAGATCCAGCTGCACCGCCCTCTCCCCCCTCCCAGTGCTGGGATTAAAGGCTTGTGCCACCAATGCCCAGCTGGTTTTTGTTTTTCAAGACATAAAAAGTTTCTCTGTGTAGCCCTGGCCATCCCGAAACTCATTCTGGCCTTGAACTCAGAGATCTAGTTTGCCTCTGACTCTGGGGTATGAGGATGAAAGGTGCCACCATATTCTGCATAGAATGGTTAATAAGATTACTTAACTCCACTTAGTAAAGAGCACTTTTACTACGTTGTTCTGGTTTGTTGGTTTGTTTGTTTGTAGAGACAGGGTTTCTCTATGTAACAGCCCTGGCTTTCCTGGAACTTGCTTTGTAGACCATGCCTGCCTCTGCATGCTGAGATTAAAGGTGTGTACCACCACTGCCTGGCTTCTTCTAATAGTTTTTATATACATTCACTTTTCTTAAAATTGGGCCAGTGCTACATTATATTGAGTTTAAAATCAACATAGCTATCATTTGATACAGTATGACTGTTGTTGCACATTGCTATTCATGGCCAGTTCTCTGAACAATCATCTTTTTTCTATGACATGAACTTTTACTTTTTTTTTTTTTTTTTTTTTTTTTTGGAGACAGGGTTGTTTTGGAGGTTGTCCTGGAACTCGCTCGGTAGACCAGGCTTGGTCTCGGAACTCACAGAGATCCGCCTGCCTCTGCCTCTGCCTCCGCCTCCCGAGTGCTGGGATTAAAGGTGTGCACCACCCACACCTGGCGAACTTTTACTTTCTGCCTTGCACATAGAAGATGATTTTAACTCATTGTACTGATAGCACTTATGTGTGCAAACATGGGACACATGTGATTTAAAAAAAAAAAAAAGAACCTAGGTCATTCTGAGTTGGCTTATATGCAGTGAAAGCTATGAATTTGTTGCATTCAGTAAGCCACTTGAAGCCCCATATTCACTTCTGGTAACAACTTTACCCTTTTGCTGGCAGAATACCCACAATGACAACTGTCTATGTTTAGTCTATCTGTTTGTGGAAAAACCTGCACTGTTCTTTGTGAGCAGCTATGTAAATATTAGCCCTCTTAGGTCAGCAGATCTATTTTGAACAAATTGTGTCCTGTTTCTTTGAGACAAGGTCTCACTATATTGTCCTGGCTGGTCTGGAATTCACAGAGATCTGACTGCTTCTGCCTCCCAAATGCTAGGTTTAAAGGTGTGTGCCATCATACCTGGTTGTAGATTGTAATTTTAAAAAAAAGTACCTAAGGCCAGGCAGTGGTGGCGCACACCTTTAATCCCAGCACTCGGGAGGCGGAGGCAGGTGGATCTCTGTGAGTTCAAGACCAAGCCTGGTCTACCGAGCGAGTTCCAGGACAGGCTCTAAAACAATACAGAGAAACCTTGTCTCGAAAAGCAAACAAAAGGGCTGGAGAGATGGTTCAGAGGTTAAGAGCACTGGCTGCTCTTCCAGAGGTCCTGAGTTCAAGTCCTAGCAACCATATGGTGGCTCACAACCATCCATAATGAGATCTGGTGTCCTTTTCTGGCCTGCAGGTAGACATGCAGGCAGAACACTGTATACTTAATAAATAAATAAAATATTTAAAAAAAAAAAGAAAAGCAAACAAAAAAAATGTACCTAATGATATGCAGGATTAAAGGTTCTTTGCAACAGGTCACTATACTTGTGAGGCAGAGGCAGGTGGAACTTTGACTTTGAGGCCAGGGAAGCCAACCTGGTCTGCATAGTGAGACCCTGTCTCAATAAAAAATTAGGTTGGGCATGGTGGCATATGCCTTTAATCCCAACAGTCAGTATGACAAGGCACATATATCTCTAAATTTGAGGCAAGCCTGGTCTACATAGTTTGTTCCAGGACATCAAGAGCTACATCGTGAGACCCTGTGTCAAAAAAAAAAAAAAAAAAAAAAGAAGCTAAGTTGGAGGATGATGAGTATAGGATCAACTGAACTACTTGGTAAGACTGTCAAAAAACAGTCAGGCCAGGCATGGTGGCACATACTTTTAATCCCAGCATTTGGGAAACTGAGGCAGTCAGATCTTGTGAGATCAAGGCTAGCCTGATCTACATATATTCTTTCTCATAACAAAAACAGAGGAAGAAGTCTTATTTCTTTGTTTTTTGATTGGGTGCCAGAGGCTGAGCAGAGCTTTGAGTGTGCTTACATTCCCTTACCACAATGCCATACCACTCCCACAGTCATTGATCTTTAAAAAGAAGTTCACTTCCTCTGCTTATTAGCTTCCTGTAGCTTCTGGTTTTTTTGTTTTTTGTCCCCCACCCCCGCAGACAGGGTTTCTCTATTTTGGAGCCTGTCCTGGGACTCCTTCAGTAGACCAGGCTGGTCTCAGACTCACAGAGCTCCACCTGCCTGCTTGGCTTCCTGTAGTATAGTAGCACTGCAGAAGATTCTAGAGGCTAAAAATCTGCATTAAGTCTTGAGCCTCTTGTACAGGCTTCTGCTTCTGGTGGTCGCCACCATCCTTTGGCTTATGGCATGAGATCCCTTTGTTGTTTTCATTCTGTTCTTTGTTTGCCTGGAAACAGTGTGGGAACTCTGCCTCTGAGAAAGATAAATGTGATTATATTAAGGCCTCCTGGGGTGACTCAGGATCAGTTTCTCCTCTTATCTTCTAATAACAACTTTTGCTGTATAAGGTAACATTCACAGATTCATGGAGGTAGGGTATAAATCTTTTTGTGGGAGTCAGGGGGACTGTCATTCAGACCAGTATATACAAATAAATTTACAGCTGGGCGGTGGTGGCGCACGCCTTTAATCCCAGCACTCGGGAGCCAGAGGCAGGCGGATCTCTGAGTTTGAGGCTAGGCTGGACCGACAGCCTCCAAAACAATACAGAGAAACCCTGACTCATAAAACCAAAATAAATAAACTTACAAAAAAAGATTTTTAAAAAAGTTGGTGGGGGGGGCTGGGTGTTGGTGCACATCTTTATTCCCAGCACTTGGGAAGCAGAGGCAGTCAGATCTCTGTGAGCTTGAGGCCAGCCTGGTCTACAGAGCAAGTTCCAGGCCAGGCTCCAAAGGTACAGAGAAACTCGATCTGAAAAAAAAAATTCTGGGTGGTGGTGGCACACAGTTTTAATCCCAGAATTTGGGAGGCAGAGTTGTAAGTCTGCCTAGTATACAGAGTGAGTTCCAAGACAGCCAGAGCTGCACATGAAAACCCTTGTCTCATTTTATATGTCTTAGTAGTTTCCTGCATGCATATATGTGTACCATGTGTGTTAGTATTCAGGCATCTGTACTGGCTGCCCTTGTGGTTCTGATAGGATACATCCTCAGCTGCAGACACTAAGAGCACCACGTGTGCACATTCAGTATGTTCCCTTTTAAAAGGGCCCTGTCCACCTCCCATCTTTCTGTCTCTTTTTGCTTCTTTGTC